AAATGAATTTAAAAAATTATTTAAATTTAACTTATTTAAAAAATGAGTTAAACTCAAGTTGAACCCTAATGAGCTGATCCTGAGTAAAATAACCTAGTTTTATGATCTTGAGTCAAATTTAAAAAATTATTTAAATTTGATTTACAACTCGGTTCGACTCATTTAAAATATGAGCAGAATAATAATCAACTTGTGTATGAATCGAAATCGAAACGAGTTTGAATAGTTCGGCAGCAGACCATTTGTAGTTCAAATATTGGAATCTTAGGCCCAACATGAAGGTAAGTATAACATTTTGAACCCATTTAGAAAGCTTGATAAATAAGAATCAAACAAACCATGTAGAATTTATGATTTAGGAAAAATTTTAATCACATTTCTTCTACTTTATTATATCTTCAAAAACATTTCTATTATTCAAAATATTACTGACACCCTTTTTAATTTGTATTTAAACATCATTGACACTCCCTATGTTAAACCACCATTTGTAACAAAAAAAATTCATCTAAAATACCAAACATGTCCCTACATAAATCCCAAACAATTTTTTATATAAAATTCAATTAAAATTTATTTTTGTATATATTAAAATTTGAACTTATTAAAATTTATTTTTTTATATATTAAAAGTTGAATCGATTAAAATAAAATTCAAGCTGATTAAATTTGTTCATATTAAAAAAAAAAATTTATGTATTAAAATTCAAGTCAATTTGAGCTCAACCAGAGCTATTAACATCGATTAAAATTTGATTCAATGCGAGTTAATTAAAATTTGATTCAAATCGATTATATATAGAATCAAAATTTAAGCAACCCGAATTTTAATATGTAAAAAAAATTATAAAATAAAAAAAGTCTCATTGAAGAAATATTTATCTAGAGGGAGTGTGGATGAAATTTTCTTAAAATATATTTTGGGCAATTTAATTAAATTGTATTATAGACAAGGAGTGTAGTGAATATTTAAAAATTAGAAAAATATTTTTAAATTTATGATAAATTAGGAAGAGTGTGATTGAAATTTTTCCCATTGTTTATATATGGGGCCTTCAAAGTCGATTTTTATAAGAAGGTCCCATTGGGCCTGTGGTGTTTTGTGCATTCGACTCTCCTATCATCATTTCTAGTGTGTATGCATGTGCACGCGTCCTTGCCCTCGCGTAGGCGAGAGTGGGCCGGTGCCCTGACAATATTTTCACTTAAAATTGCCTTTAATTTTTCAATCTTTTCTTTGACTTTTACATTTTAGTGTCTTGAAAAATATTATTACATTTTATATTCTTATTTTTTTAATAAATCAAAAAAATATATAGGTTATATGTCGAATTTAAATGATCATTTGAATTTGCTTGTTAAATTTGGAAATTATTTTTGATTATGTATATTATCAAAAATATGATTTTAATATAATAGATGATGATTTATTGGTGGTGGACTCTTTGATTATGTACAGAAATAGAAAAAATTAATATTTATACAGAAATAGATAATTTTCGGAACATGACATGCATCAAACATTTTTTTAGACGGGTGATTGACTTGAATGACATAAATATTGTGTCCTTTTTTTTGTTCCATATCTTAAGACTAAACAATATTAGATATATTTTCTTCTAGTATTTTAATTTTGATTATTAACATATTTCTTATATTTGTGTTTAAAACCATTAATAGTTTATATCAATTAGTAAAAAAATTTAATCATATTTGTACCCACCCTAAAGTGAAATTCTGGCTCCACCACTGTGTGCGAGTGAGTGCACCTCATCTTCTCTCCCCTTCCTCCACAACCATCCACCCAAAAAAATAATTGCCCAATCCAATTAAAATTCAACCTTACATATAGAAGTATTCTTAAGGACCTTAAATATTTTGTACAACAATGATATTAAATTATCATTCTTAAGGACCTTAACGGTGGCGATGGCGGATGATAATGGCTGGTGACGATGGTGAGTGACAACAGATAGTGGTGGGTCATGGTAATGACTGGTGGTGGGGTGCTGAAAATGGGCGACATGGTAGTAGAATGATGGTGGTAATTGTAATAAATATAAGAATGAGATACGATGGTGGTAGGTGGTGGCGATGGGCGTCGATGATAGTAATTAGTGGTGGGACAGTGACAATGGTGGTGCGGGTGGCAATGATGGTAAGGTGGCAACGATGGTGGTGGTAGTGGTCGTAGAGGCGATGATAGAACAGTGGCGACAGTGATAGTTGTGGGGGTGAGGGTGGTAGTGGTGATGGTGGTGGAGGTGGTGGTGGGGCAATGAGGGTATAGGTAGTGAGGTGGTGACAATAGTGATAGTGGGGCGACGGTGGTGGTGACGGTGGTGATAGTGGTGGGGTGGTAGTGGTGGGGCAGTGGGGGTGGTTGTGATAGTGGTGGGATAGTTCCAAATATTACTTTTTTATTTTTAAAGTAATTATGAGAAATTATAAGTTTTAAAAACAGTTTTAAAAAGTCACCCCAAATACACATTTAGGGATAGAGGTACACATGGGCGGACCAACCCGAATTGAACCCAAATTAAACCCGAAAAAACAGGGTTTGAGTTATAATTTTTAATATTTGGGTTGGACTTGGGCAAAAAAATTTCAACTCGAATTGAATCTGGACAAGCCCCAGGTTGAAGCCTTTGGTTGTAGGGTTCAATCCGAATATTAAAATATAGTTGAACCCGATTATTAAATCAGTTTGAACCTGAATATATATAAATATATTTAACTAAAATTAGTATTTATCTTCACTCTTTAGAGTTAAAATTTTCACTTCACTTCAAGTCTTCACCTCTACATCTCCATCACTCTCAAATACTTCTCTCATTCGTCACTCCTTCCTCATTTAGCCTCTTTCTCTCAATCGTCAATCGGCACTCGTTTGAGTCGTCTCAAACTCTCAGTTTTATTCTCTCACTCGTCATTCCTCCTTTTCCCACTCCCTCTCTCTTCATCTATGCTTCGTCCTTCATATCTGATCACTTGAAAAAATTAGACCTACACTTGAAAAAATCAAATATATACTTCAAAAAATTAACCCGAATTAAGTAACTCAAGTCAACCCGATTTTTAATCTGAAATCAATTCGAATTAAGTAACCCGAATTCAACCCGAGCTCACCCGAATTAAACTTGGGCAGTACTCGAGTTGAGTACCTGGAATTGAAGTAGGGTTAGAGTTGAAGATTATATATTTAGAATTGAACTAGAGTTGACCTCTCAACCCGCCAAACCCGTCTGAGTTGCACCCCTACTTAGGGACTTATTTTTTCTATTAAATTTGTGATGTTAATTTTAACAGTTGGATTAATTTTAAAGTAAAATTTAAATAAATCTTAACTTCGAAAAGTAAAAAAATTATTTTATTTATCTTCTGAAATTTGAATTATATTATACTTTATTATATAGATTATGATCGACACATCATATTCAAGATTTTAATAGTTTTCAACTGTATCGTGTGAACGAACACGTTATCTCTTACTCAACTTTATAAGCAAGGATTAGCGCACCAAAATCTTGATCAACTTTAAAGCAGACCATAAAGAGCATTAAATCCAATCCCATCTTCTTTTAGGTTAACAATCCAGTCCCATCATTGCGCAAAAGATATTCATTAATCATGAGACAAAAGAAAAACCTTACTCTCTTGTTTTTTTGGGAGTATGACAAACTTTATTCAAAGAACTAATACTCAAAGAATAAAGAAGCTTCCGTCCTATTCCCACTTAGAAGGATTAATCCCATTCCAATCTACGTTACTAATAAAAGTATGTATGCTAAATACTCAAACCAATACTATTTTATCAACTAAGGGAATATTTATTTCATGGGAAAAAGATGAATAAATAGGTCGGATTAAAACAAATAATAATAATATGTCTCCTCACATATCGCATGTTTGATTCATTTATGAATAAGAGGATTAAACTATTAAATTTTTCTCGGCCCAAATTGAATAGTGATAATAACCCTATGTATGATAGTTTAGATAAACTTACCGAGGGATGAGTTTAAAAAGGGTTAAATTTGTAAAATTATTAAAAATGTTATTATATCGATCAAAACACCAAATCAAATGAAAGGTATTATAGTGAAAACTAGTTTCCTGACGTCATCTCAGAGAGCCCACAACACCATGGTTATCTTTCTATTTCTATCTGATCAAACTCAAACATAGGACAAAAAAAAGATAAAATCATATTTCAATCCGGACCTATCCCAAAAACCCGATTAGATGGGTTAATTTGGACTGATCTACCAAACGACTCTAAGAGGATTGAGATATATAGATAAAGCTGCTCTAAACAGAATTGAAAATTCCTTGCCCAGGAGACAATATCATTTTGGGATCAAACTGAGATTTCCTATCTTGAAATGTGTTCCATTTCGAGCCAAAATGGTTCATCCAGCCTTCCTTGGTTTTGTAGTGTGGAAGATACTGCTTCATCTTAATGCCAGATTTCTCACAAACTTGTAATATTTCTTTGTTCTGATCATCCAAGACCTCCCAGTCATTGAACCCAGTTGAGCGCAAGAACCCTACGCAGTAGAATGTATCCTCATCTGGTATAACTGCAGACATCCTATCATCCCACCTGCAATTAATTAAGTTTTTAATTATGGTTCAAAATTCGCATAAAATGATAAGTAGATCATTTTTTCGTATAACAAAATATAATTATAGTCCCTCGTGCATGCGCTTTGTTTTTACTTTGATCTTTGGTCGTTAAATCCTTACTTTAGTTCCTCAAATTTTAAATTTATGTCCATTTTTTTCAATAAAAAAATGAGAATTTACCTTGACTACCATGCATCTCATGTGACCAACAAATTGATACAAATTAAATACTTCATAGGTCAAAAGCGATCCCTAAAGTATGATCGGCCAAATGCACGTATATGACTACTTCTATATGGTCAATTTAAACCGTCATTTTTTATTTTATCAAAATGACACAAAATAAAAACTTGAGAGCATAAATTAATCATCTGTAAAAGGAAAACCAACGTGATACGAAACACATATATTCATGAAACATCATCATTCTATTTCTGTTTCTTTGTATTTTCTTTTAAGAAATTTTTTTTTAAAAAAAAAAGAGAATAATTACTTTTTTCCGGTAGTTGGGTAGACAAGGATGGGTCCAGTGGTCTTGTTTTGCCTGTGGATTATGTTGACAAAAACAGCCTCATTGAAATCCATAATATGAGATTTTGGTACTAAGAGATTTAGCCATGGATGAGGAACATCCCATAGTCCTTTTGATTGAAGCTTCAATTCTCCACTTCGAACTCTGTTGAGAAAATCTACAAAGGGGACATCTTTCTTGAACATCAAACCAGGAAGAAAGTTCAACCCTTGGAGCAACACTTGAAGTTCCTACAGAAAAAATAATAACTTGCACTGTTATATAACTACTTGTTGTGATTTACACCGAAATGAATTAAGATACTGTTTGATAACGGTTTTAAGCTTTTTTTTTTTTTTTAAATGTTTCCCAATCTTTTCTGTATATATATATTTTTTAAAATATGTATTTTGTTTAACCGCATCTCTTTTAAAAGCTTCAATTGTCATAAAGGCGTGACCCCGCTTGAATAGTCCTTCCACATGTTTGTATATTAGTACCGAGGGATGAAAGTTAGTCTGACTTGAATTCGGAGTGTGATATAATTATTTATTTAATTATTAAGTACATCCATACACTTAAAAAAGCAAGTACCTCGTCCACAGTGTCGATGCTGAGATGCTCATAGTACTTGACTACTTCTAAACAGTAGATGATGCCATGTTGCGACAGTAGAGAAGCAATTCTTGATTGATCAGACAATGAGAAAAAAGAAGATCTCCAGTTATTTGGAGGACTCTGCTGCATTATAAGAGAACCTTCCAAATACTCCAGTGCAGTTGTTGAGATCAGCTTTTCTTGGTCTCTCGTGAAGGTAGAGAAATCACTGTAAAGCAATCTGACCCATTTCACCTGTGAACCAAAAACAACAACTTATACCTTAATATAAGTGAAATATTACATGAATATATGTGCGTGTGTGTGTGTGGCTGGGTGTGTTTGGCCTTAGTTTATGATAGTCTCAACTCTCAAGCAGGCTATTCTCTTTGAGGAAAGACGGTAAAGGCACGATCTCGCATTCCAAGAATATTATCTTATAGATTAGGAAGTTTAGACGCTTGAATATCTATTTTGTGAGTATACCTCAGGAAGTTATTGGGCACGTCTTGAACTATAATATGAGCCAATTTTTCAGTAGTAAAGTCATTTACCGAGAGAAAAAAAAAACGGGGGTTGGAAGATAGTTATACAAGCATACTTCATGCTAATAAAGTTTCAACTTACTCTGTTTGGTGCCTTATCCAGCACAATTCTTGCTCTAGTTATGATTCCAAACTGACCAAGTCCTCCTAGAACTGCAAAAAACAACTCAGAGTTCCACTGTTTGGAACAAGTCACAAGCTCCCCCGTTCCTGAATCAAGCAATTAAAAAAAAACTTCATCAGGTTAAGTAAAACCCTAGTAACTGTATCTGTATGCATGGTATCATGTAGAAAGTTCTGTTGTTCACAAAGAAAACCTAGGATGATTCATTATCTATGCTTTGGAAATAGGATATGGATATACCTAACACATGCAACTAGATTCCTCTGACACCCTGTGAGGTGAATCCTACCAAGAAGATCTCCCAAGTGGGAGAGAGACGTCACCAACCAGAACCTGTGAATGTCAACATTATATTCCCCTACATTTATCAGGAATATATTCTGAGGTATCATCATGTTTCCATTTGTGCCAGGAGTTTTGGGGGTAGGACTAGGCTTGCCCGGAATCTTGATATATAATTATCGAGTTTGAGTTTGAGTTTGAGTTTTAAATTGGTAGAAACGTGCATTAATATAATGTGTGGACACAGATCTAGTTAAACATAATAAAAATTATGTCTAAAAATAACTTATACACGGCATGACTTTGATTATATACCGTTATAAAGGAATCAAGTATGTTAAACAAATTATGACAGACGACAAGATTTACACTGCTTAAAAATTCAATACGACACTGGCCATAGGTTTGATGTTTATGACCCTAATTATGGTATTTAATTTAGCTATGTTTTTTTTATATCACTCAGACTGTCAAAAACTGCAGAATAATAAGAAGAAAAAAGAAAATATACCAGTAATAATATCCATTTCATGTACATTGCTGATCTGAGGACCATAACGAAATGACTGGCCACTAATCCCAGCATTAGAGAGAGTTCCTCCAACACTGAGGTACAGATAATCCGTCCATGATACTGGTGCAAGTCCATGCTCAAGTGTATCACTCAACACATCGATCCAAAGCTTCTCTCCTCCAACATCTGCATAAAACCCTAATGCAGGGCTCCAAGAAACCCTAATTCCATCACAACCACCATTATTATTCAAAGAACTCATATCCACCACCACCCCATTATCAGCCATGGCTTGACCTCTAGATGAATGGCCATGACCTCTAGCGGCTACACCGAAAGGGACTGAATGGCTGTGAGAGAATTTTATGAGGTCAACTATGTCGTTAATGGAGGAAGGACGAAGAACAGCAGCTGGAGTTACATGAACCAGATTGCCAAAGTCAGTGGAGGCTGTTTTAATAGCGTCAAGATCTACGCGAAGCTTATTGGCAATGTCTAGAGAAAAAATTTCAGGAGGGAGTGGATTGGTCCATGGGCTTAGCTTTCCCACGATTGATATTAATGGGCTTATGATGAAAAAAACAATGAAATATGCTGGGATTGAACAAGTCTTAGCCATTGTAGAGGACTAGCTAGGCAGAAGAAGAGAGTGGAAAAAGTTGGTGATGTGTGTTAAGGAGAAAAGGGTGGATGTGATATATATAGAGGAGAAAGACTATTCTAAGGTTAAATTATAATATTTCTTACCAACGGCCATTTGGTCTAATAGTATTTTGTACCTTGCGAAGACTTTGTCTTCTTGAGGTCAAAGGGTTCAAATCCCCTTCCATTTTCCCTAAAAAAAAATAATGATAATATTTCAAAAGTCATAATCGATCACAAAATTAAAATTACAAATTTTAAAGATCAAATAATTATTCTTAAAAGTAATGCTATAATTAGTGAAAGAAAAATTATATGATATCGATCATAATATTTTATGATTGATCATGAATTATATCAAGTAATTGCACATTAAAAAAATGTAACTTTACTTTTAAAAATAAAAACTTTCGATATAGTATCAAAAAAAAAAATATGTGCCACAATGCTATCGGACAAATTGGAGAGAGAGAGGTGTGTGTGTGGGGCCGGGGGGGGGGGGGGGGGGGGGGAATGTGCATGGAAACTATTATGAAATCTTGGTTTGCAGAGAAGAAATCTTGGCATATATATGGACCATAGTTTTTCAAAGATACGAAAGGACTGGACTTATGATCCTTTGCCTTTAGTTCCAACGTCATTACGTGGTCCTCATGGGAAAAAAAAAATCACTTATCACATGTTTTGTTTGTCATCGGTAAAATTATGATGCAGTGTCGTGGTGAAAAAAGAACGTCATATGTTTCACGAAATAAGGTTATACATATTTGATTTTTTTTTTTTAAATTAGGCATGATAGTTTTAAATAGAGTCTATGAATTGATACGAAATTAACGAGAGTTTGAATTAAATTTTAACGGGTGTAAGTGATAAATGATTGAATGAGTTGATCTTAAACCCGATGAAAATAAAAAAAGAATCAATTAAATATGACTTATATATAATTTATACATGATGTGCGTGCAAGATCCTGCACAATATAAAAAACGAGAACAGATCTCTCCCTTGGTGAACTCGAGTGAGCCGGTGGAGTGACCAAACACGCTGCTTAGGACAGCCTGCAAGGTACGGTGGTAACCTGGAACAGCAACGGGAGACCCTGGGAAAGGAAGAGCGATCCTGTAAGGCTGGAAGAGGTTCCTGAAACAAAGAAGAACAAGTTAGAAGGGCGCCGGAGTGTTTTCCGGCGTATCCCCTCCGACGATCTAGTCAGTCTTTGAGAGAGAGAGAGAGGATAGAGAAAACACTGAGTGCGTATTGTAGTAGAGAGTTTGTTGTTGCATACCCGCTTTGCCTTTTGCAAGAAGTATTTATACCTTAAAAGCTCATGATTGCTGTCAGTATTGTCAGTAGGTGATCATTAGGCACAGGTAGCGTGTGCATTGATTCTGATGAGGAATGTCTTCTCTAATTAACTGCTCGGGGTCCCGAGCAATCAATGCTGGATCATCGGAATGCCGACGGTACAATGTGCTCCTCTCGGGGAGGATGCAATAAATGCTCTGTAATAGGAGCATTTATTGCCTTTCATTTCCGAGCCTTACCGCATTGAATGCGGTCTCATCAAGGGATGGTGCAATTAATTGTTTGCTTTCCCAAGTCGCGTGTCAGCAACGGCATGCGGTTTGTCTGTCTTTGATGTGATATCATATGCCACGCGTCTATCTCCTATTGGCTGTGACCTCTGTATTCCAGTACGTTCTGACATTACTTGTGTAAGACGAGGTCATGATGAATAGCCTAGACTAGCCTAGGCTAATGACCTGTATGTCAATAGCTTATCCCGGGGTAGAGGAAGCGTCCAGGATGGGGTACCTCTCGGCACCGAGGAAAGGCTCATCTCGGGAACCGAGGGAGGTATGCCGACCGAGGTACATATCAGACCGAGGCCACGTGTCGGTTGTAAAATATACTGAATGTATGATCTTATATGACGGTACCTCGGGGGCGAGGACCTTCGTGCGCCGATGGTGCTTGATCTTAGCAACAGTGTTTTAGTAAAATCGAGGACACGTGTCTTCATCATAGGGTATTTCAGAAAAGTCTCATCACATGATATAAATGAATCTGATTGTACACAAATACTAATACATAAGGTATAAATTTAATAAATTTTAACATAATACAACTTACACATAACATAAATATGGCACGATATGATTCATGGACAGTTATGGTGGTGCGAATCGACGGAAAACTTATACACTAGGTTATCTTTTATCTGTTCTTACGCGAATGTCTTGTCTAAGATTCCAAAACCACCCACAGTTTTGTTCATTCTTGTGGGCCTTTTCAGAGACCAAACAGCTGTCTTATTGTCCCTTTGATCGTGATCGAACATTTCAAGTTCTACCCCATTTTGATTCTTAGATATAATATAGTATCTGCTTGCTTGTCTGTTTCTTGTTTTAGGAATGAATGGAGGCCAGAATTAGGTGAGCAACTTTAGGGTCTTTGAAAGTTGTCATGTAAAAGCATCGTTTTTTTTTGTTTTTTAATCGTGCTTAGACTTCTTTATCAAAAAATAATTTTTTTTTTATCTAATCAAGATGTCACACATGAGTATAAGATAATCCAAATCAAGATCAAAGAATACAAATTATTTTTTAACGTGATATCGACTTTTTATATTTTAATTTCATAAGCATTGTTCTTTTGATTGAGATGTGTCAGAGGTACCGCGGAGGAGCTATCAGTCAGATTTTTTCCTTCATTCTAAGATTTTGTTTGCAGGTATTTAGGCCTACATGTAAATCTGCAAAGTCAAATTTTAACTACATATATAATTACTAAGCACATCTCTTGTCCCATGAAATCTCTCTTTCACTCTTTTGACACTTCCATGTTTTCTAATGAGTCCATTGATGGCTTTGAAGTTTTTCTTATTATTTTATAACCATAAATAAAAGCTAATCTAAAGTATCAACCATCAGGGACGGAGGAGTTAGAATTTGTCATAGGGTGCCGACTAATTAAGAGTTGTATTAAAAAAAACATATTGTAGTAATATATATTTAGGGTCATAATACATGAATATCGCATATATAATAATCTTATATCGGATAAAAAACAAAAAAAATATAAAAGTTTTAAGTGGGTATACATCTCGAACATGAATATTATTAGACTTTTTGTATCATTGAACTCTTGAGCGTAGATGATCAACTCTCCGAAAAATAATACCGTGTATCCACAATAACGACGACTCTCAAAAAAATGATGAAGTCTTAGTATTGAAGTTATGAAAGTGCAGGACAGCTCTCTGGGACCAAGAGCTCGAGGAATGCTGAATGCGATGACTCGTCAAATCCAGTGGACTAAGCCTTTTTTACTTTTTTTTTAACTCGTGGTTAAAAGCAAGGTAGTATATATATGACCACTATAGATACATATGCCCCTCATGAAGTTAAAAACTTGAATAAAAAAATAGTATATATATGACCACTATTTCATTAAAAAAATTAATGCATTCTAGAAGGTAATGTAAGACAGAAGAACCACGAAACTTCTATGAAAGAACACAGGAAACTTCATGGGCAACTAAAAAAAATTGCCCTTTCACACCTGCCTAAACAAGGACAATTAGGTTTCAAACCTACCAACAAAAAAAAATGGAAAAGGAGCAGCCAGTGGTCGGTCATGCTAGACCTTTTTTGGAATATATGTGGAAAAAACACTTTTCATTTTCTTTTTTTTCAAAAAAAGGATAAACCCAAATATTTAGATTAAGGTATTGCAAATATTACGACTCAATCCAATCAAATTACCATTTTAATATTCTGGAAAAATCAATCATAAAAATATTAAAATCCGTCACCAACCATTCGAGTTGATCTTAATCAATTCTGTCGGATCGTAAGTGGGTTCATTTCGCAATCAAAAATTGTTGATAACAAAGTTCTTATCTTACATTGATCATATTGGGACCATTATTAGATATAAGAGAGATATAAAAACGTACTATATGAGTACAATTATGTATATGCATGCTTCTGTGTACTTTCACATACATTACATGTAGAGAAGTAGAGATAGTCTTGGGTAAGTTTTGCATAGAGGAGGATCGATCTCCTGGAAGGAAATTTACACTGTGTTTGGTTGGAAAGAATGTTGGATTGATGGAAAATAGTAGGTGAAAAATGGAATGGATGGAAAGGTTTTTCACTGTTTAGCATCAAAGGAAAGAATGATGAAAAAAAAATTGGAGGGACAACTTTTCTCTCCTGCCCACAATTTAAAATGAGAGGAAGGCATGATAAATTGACTTTTTAAGGGTTATTTTACTTTTTTACCATTTACTATTAATTACTTAGAAATTAATATAAGGGTAGAATTATAAATTGAGCATGCATATTTTTTCTTTCATTTTATTTTTTATCTAATACCAAATGATGAAAAATATATTTTTTTTACTTTTTATCCCTCTTATTAAAAAAAAATAAAAAAAATAATTTTCTTTTCTTTAAGGATAAAAAATTTATTTCTTTCACTTTTTTTTTTTTTCCTATTTTTCTTCTTTTGTACTAAACAGACCATTATATTCGGCTCTATGCGCATACTATTACTGGCCCTTGGCTTTGAGAGGGGAAGAGAGTACGCATGCCTTTGCAAAGAATAGTACATCTATAGATCGAGCATTCAAGGATGGACTGTTAGAAGATACTCAAGATCTTCATCGGGATCAAAACTAGCCCACAAGACTACGGTGGTCCCGAACCAAACAACCCACCCACCACCTCAAATCTACTCCACGTGATTAGTCGATACTGCCATCAAGGCCGTCCATACGTTCACGAGGAGACAGAGAGAATATTTTTGCGTTAGATATGGATTAAAATTGTGATTAGAGTTAATAATCGAATCAAACTACTCAAATTCGGTCAAATTCGACCTATGTAGACTCGACTCACACTCAATTTGTGTTTTAAATGAGTTGAACTTGAACAACAAAAAGACTCAGCTCGAGATTGTAAAATC